TCCAGTTACTTGATGTTCGACTTCCTTTTCTGGTAACAGATCAATACATTTGCCTCTGAGCGTGATATTTTAATCCAAGTAATAAAGCACCTTTGCACAAGCAAATGCCATGACCTTTTATATTTACCTGCCATTTGTCCCAGCCCCCCCCATACAGCTCTGAGAGACACATATAACACACACGCCCCTGGTTACCATGGAAATTATCTATGAGGTATATGTCATGCACAAATAATCCTTAAGCAGGAAATGCCATGTTTTATGGTAGGTCTTTCTGGTCTATTCCCAACCGTACCTCACTGTTGGCAAAATCTCAGACATTTGCTGCAGAAGGAAAGCATTTATAATCTGAAAGAAATGCCACAGCCTCCTGGCACAGTTCACGCCTTGCCTATCTTTAGTCCTCAACCACCACCTGCCGTATTTTCCCAGTCATGAGGTTTCCTCTTTGTGTAACAAACTTAGAGCAGGTGCCCGAGTAGGCAGTAACAAATCAGCTTCTAGTAGAAAGAAGGGGATCTGACTTGTCCGACATTCCTTCCAGATGTCAGGAAGTAAATGCCCAATGACACAAAGGTCTTCAAATGTCAGAGTATCTGACTGAATGATCAAAAAACAGGAAACACCAAAGGACCAGGTGGAGCAGAAATGAACACGGCATTCCAAATGCTGAATAAATGGGACCCGCCACCTCCTACTAATGAGATCTCCCTCCTCCACTAAACACTAGACAGCGTTACATGCAAAGGGGCTCTCATCCTGTGACACAGACCATATTTTATCATAGGTCACAGGCTGTGCCACCTGCATTGCTTCCTTGGAAGGCTCTGGGGCAGCACTATAGCCAGAGATGTCACTGCAAAATGCTACTCAAACTTGAACCTGGAGACTCTCAATACTCAACTCAATGTTCCAGACAGTGGATAACTTGACTCTTACACTTTAGAGAGCAAGAACAGCATGCACAAATGACTGCACTATTTTTTTTTTTTGAGGCTTTTTTGCCTTTTCCATTACAGTGCTAGGGATCGAACCCAGAGCCTCGAGCATGCCAACCACAAGCTCTTTTACTGAGCTACACCCTTTAAAAGGAATTCTTAAAAAGCTGAAAACAGACTTTCCAACTTATGCCTTAAGTAATACCTTTGATGGTCCCCACTGCTGCAGAAAAACCTACTGGAAAGATATCCTGCCTGCTACAAGTTCACTGATGAGCAAGTCCTTGGACACCCAGGACCACATTTTCCTACACAATGTAATAAAATCAGTTAGACCCTGAGGCAGCTAACAAAGAACAACTTAACCTAGCATGCACTCTGGAGCCAGTCACCAGCCAGCAGGTCAGTGATGGCCCAAGGACAGCTATGTTGGCTGGAGGATAAGTGGGCCTACAGAGCTGTGAAAAGTTTTAAAAATCAGGATTATTGTAGAAAAAAAGAGAAAAGAATGAAATAATTTTTTACAAAAATAGACAGCGGATGGGAACCGCTTTTCAATCTATATTTCAAGGAGCCAGGAAGGGTGATCAGCAATGGATAGCCCTCAAAACGGCCCCAGGACCTCACCTCCTAATTTCCCGGTATGGGTGGGGCCTGGAGCTGGCTTCAGACCTAGAGAACATGGCAAAGGTAAGAACTGTGGTTAATCACATTACACCAGGCTTCAGCTTTCAAACAGCCTTCTTACTGGCTCAATGAAGCAAGTAGCCACGCTGGGAAAGCCCACGTGGCAATGAGCTTGGGGCAGCCTCCAGGTCAGCCAGGTCAGTCTCAGACCTACACCATGAGGAAATGGATCTGGCCAACCACCTGAGGAGGCTTGGAAGCAGATGAGAACCTCCAGATGAGAATCAAGCCCTGGTCAACACCTTGACCACAGCATCATGGTCCCCAGGCACAGAACCTGACTAAGCCATGCAGATTCCTGATCCACAGAAACTGTGAGAAAATAGATGCGTGTGGTTTGAAGCTGTTGCAACGGAGGACCAATACATGTTTCAAATGATCATGTGTAATCATAAGCAAGTGTGCAATTCTTCTCTCCTTAACCCTCTCCAAACTAAACCCCAGAGCTCCACCTTTCTTAAAGGGTCTCTGCTTCAGGGCGAATCCTTACTTCACCTAAAACTACCTTTCTTTGGTTAAGGTTCAGTGATTTGAATATAATTTTTCTCTTTCTAGGAAAATGGTGTATATCAAATGGCTGTTGTTTCATTAAAAAAAATCGTGAAGGTCTCTATCCTGGGCCACCACTTGAGGACTCACAGGAGGTACAAAAGATGCAACCACACCTTGTCCCTGTCCTTGCAGAGCTCACAGTCTAGAAAGAAGAAAGCAACTATATTTATAAGCATCCATCTGGGGAGAGATAGAAAGGCTTAGGGCAGCCAGTGCAAGATGGCCGTGACGAGGCTGGTGCAGGGCCAGGACAAAGGAGCATGGAGAGGGTCTCTGATGAGGTCCACTTCCTGCCTGATGAAAGTGCTCATGGACACAAGCAGAGGACCCAATCAGACAGATACTTCTGTACTTGTGCTCCTAAGCTGGGGACCCAATAGAAAAACTAAAACAGAGGTACAGAGGGGGCATGGATCAATAGTGGTGAGGAGATCATGGACAGGGGAGAAGATAAGGAAAGGAGGAAATTCTAGAGACTATAAAAAGAAAAGACCAAAATGCCCCCAAGGATTCTCAGCTCGGGGCCCCTTCTCTCCAGAGAAGTCTATCTCTGTCACTTTTGCAATAAACCTGCTGCTTGCTTGCTACCTCTGTGGCCTGTCCATCATTTTTTTTTGCAGAATGAGACAACAAACCCAGCACCCCTAGATGGTAACCCCTGGATGGTAACACAATAGATAATTATTTTGCACCTACTATGTGCTCTCCCCTCCTAGGTGCTGGGGAAGTAGCAGGAAGCTCCCGGCCAGAGAAGACAGAACCCGACATCCGAGTCAGGCTTTGCCCTCAGAAGTCAACGTGGAGCCCTGGTGTCAGGTAACATGGAGGATGTTCTCCAACACTCTATTAGGACAGCAGAAACACGTCTGACTGGTGCAGCCAGGGCAAGCAGCAGAATGAACCACTCTAATTTAAGCACTTTTACCAAATAAGCAAGTCAATTAAGAAAGAAAGAAAGAAAGAAAAGGACCCTGGAGGCTCACAGGGTCCAGCACACAATGGCTCAGCCTAGGCAGAACATCCTCCCACTTCCCCACTGGCAAGGATCTAATTTTACCTGCTGTCTCTGGGAAAGTGCACCTGGCAATTCTGCACCTTTGTCTCTGACATTTACAAGGCTGCAGCAGCCTCATAAGCAAGGTGCCTACTTATAGCCTAATCCTCCCCGGAACTGGCGCTTATGGGAGGCCCCTCCTCCTTCCCCCTTAATTCTCACTTCAAGTCAGCCCCCTCCACATTACTCACATGTGGCAAAGGCCACTGGCTACATCCCCCACAAAGTCCTTCTGATTACAGACTCAGCTGGGGCTGCTGATCCTGATTATGTAAACATTTTTACCATAGCAATGGACGGAATTAAGGACATGAATGGCCACAAATGACTGAATGAATGTGTGGGAGAGGAAGAAGGGTAGGATGACACTCCTTATATACATGCTCCTGTACACACAAACACTCTACCCCATGCTTTGTCCTAACTGAAAAAACTTTGAGATGATGACAATAATGATAAAGTCTTCATATTCGATTTTTAAGTTTAATAGGAAATAACCAGAGCAATAACTTTTAAAAATACGTCTGTGGTGGAACCCTTTATTCTACATCCTATCTTGCACCCAAATACAAGACTCAGATAAAACTGAAGCTACTGTTACTTAAAGAGAGATGGGGGATGAGCAGCCTCCCTGGCCAGCCTTAACCTCCCCAGATCTAATCAGCATCACCACTGTGACTAAAAGATTTGACAAGAACAATTTTAGAGGCGGAAAGTTTATTTGGGGCTCATGGTTTCAGAGGTCTCAGTTCACAGACTGCCAACTTCATTGCTCTGTGCCTGATATGAAGTCCAGTATCATGGCAGATGGGTGTGGCAAAGGAAAGCAGCTCAGGACACAATTAGAAAGCAAAGAGGGCTCTCCTCTCAGGGACAAAATATATACTCCAAAGGCATGCCCCCAGGGACCTTCCTCCTCCAGCACACCCTACCTATCTATAGTTACCACCAGCTCATGCATTCAGTGGGATTAATGCATTGATTAGGGTAAGGCTCTCATCATCCAGTGATTTCACCTTGAAACTTTCTTGCATTGTCTCATACGTACATGAGCTTTTGGGGGACACCTCATACCTAAGCCAAAACACTGCCACATTCCCCACTCAGAACTCCCAGGCTCAAACAAACTGAGCTACAGCAGCTTCTTGTAGCCCTGAAACCCGGGAACCAGCCAGTGTAGAATTCTTAAGTGAAAGGCTGAGGAACAGCAAGAATAGCTCTTCAAAAGGAAGGAAATTGGAACTGGCCCTTGACCTTGAGATATGCAAAGTCTCCAGAAGTCAAGAAGGAGCACCCAGAGCAGATGCCACTGCGCTGTGCAGAGAAATCAAAGGCTCAGAGCAGCATGACACAGCACTGCCCAGGCACCTGGCCAGGGCTGAGGAGGGGACAGCCTGAAGCTAATCCTACACCCAGAGTGTGCCCTGGTGACCACTCTGGCTACAAGGACTTGTCAGCTACGGGGCATCAAGAGTTCTGTGTGGGGGAAATGTAGGGCTGTAAGACACACTGATGAGGAAGGCAGCCCTGTTTCCTGCCGTGTCAGTGAGGACCAAAGGACTCAAGAAGCCTGAAGAATTTTAAAAAGACAGAAATAGGGGTGTGGTTCAGTGGTGGCGCGTTTGCCTGACAAGTGGAAGGCCCCGGGTTCCATCCCCAGCACAGAAAAAAGAAAAGAAAAGAAAGAAAGAAAGACAATGACTTAGGTCTACAGTTGTCAGTTAACTTGGGTCAAAAGTGAGTCACAAATTCTAGCACAGAGAGATCACCTGCTGGGGGGGCTGATGGCACACTGTACCTGGAACAGAATGTGAGGATTTATCACCTTCTCCCGAGAATTACTGGGACCTGGCAGCCAAGACGTCTCCGGAGGGCTCTGGCGGGGGGCTTCAGACTCCTGCAAAACAAGGAAGAGCTGTCAGGTGCTTTGTTTTGGCCCCAGAACCTCCGACAGGCTGGCGGAGGGAGGAGAGAGTCAGCTCAGCCCTGCAGCAGGCAGACCGCCAGCTGCAAGGCCGACTGGTGACAGGGGTACACAGGGGAGGCAGGAAGGTCCCGTTGCAGGCATCGACCAGGCACAGGGAATAGTGGGGAAAGCCAGGGGGCTGATGAGAAATCAGACCAGATGACCCAGCTGGAGATTCCACCATTTCACCTGGACAAACAGAACCTCCCATTTCAGAGAGGACCACATAAGTGTCACACAGGCTATTTCCACAAATACAGGGCACAGAGGTCGAGGTCATGGGCAGGAGTTGGGGCAGAAAGCCACGGCTGGTTTCTTCAATCTGACTCCAACTCACACAACTGGCCTTTGGTGATGGAGTCCTGGATGGGCCAGCCGGCATGTCCGTGCCAAGTACATGCCCACCCTCAAACACCAGCAATCTGATGATGAAAAAAGGACTTGCTGACTAGAGGGTGGCCTGCGGTCCCAGAGGGAAAGGCACTGGAGCTGACCAGGGCCTGGAAGTGCCTGTGAGGCTTAATTAAGCTGCCTGAGTGCGATTCGCACCACATGTGAACCCAGAGAGGATTCTCATTACGCCAAGAATGCAAACAGCACCCATCAACAGCTTGAGCAGCCAGTGATCTCCAACCATGAGAATCCTGTTCTGTTCCCACCAAAACCTTCTGCACATTTACAGTGACATTTCATCCCTTCCCACTTTCTGTTTTGGAAATGCCTGAGCTTACAGAAAAGTTAAACGAAACCCTTTACTTATTAAAATTTTAACATTTTGCCATTTTTGCTTTATCTTTCTGTAGGTAAATACACACTTGCCCCCATGAACCATGTGGTCAGTGAGCTGCAGCTGTTACGGGCATCTGACCCCTGACCTCTAGGTATTTCAGTCAATAACTTCTAAGAATGACACTGTCCTGCACAACTGTAAGGACCTTATCCCACCAACAAACTGAGCATTAATTCAATAATATCCAAACACAGCCCATAAACAAATGTCCCTAAATGTCAAATCGCTGCTATTGCTTGACCCTCATGTGCCACAAGAGGACTGAGAGAAACGAAGGTCAGGGAGGTCAGGTTCACAGCTCAGCCAGGGAGACAGTCCAAACGTCCAAACATCCTACTGCAAGCTGGGCACCAAGGTGGGGATTCACAATGTGCCAGCAAAAAGCAGCCGCAGGCCCAGGAATGGCTTCTGCAGTGAGGTGACATTTGGAGAACAAGTTCACAAACATAGAAGGAAGGAGGGCAGGAATGTTCCAGAGAGTGGGAAGATGTTAATACTGGACACCTGGCACACACGGGCAAGAGTGCAAAGATGAAGAAGCTTGAGTGTGACCAACGTGATGATGACCCCCAAAATGTCCTTGGGATATGCCAGGTCACCCAGCCTATTCAGGCTGCAGAGGGAACAAGTGACCATTAGCATCACTAGCTTTGAATACATATGGGGAAGTCCAGGCACGGTGGAACACGCCTGTAATCCCACCTACTCAGGAGCCTGAAGTAGGAGCATCCCAAGTTGAAAGTCAGCCTGGGCAACTAACAAAATTCATGAATATATAAAGGGACCACAAGCCAAGGAAAGCAGGCAGCCTGTGGGAACAGAGAGGCAGGGACAGAGATTCTCCCCCAAAGTCCCTAGAAAGGGACACAGCCCTTCTAATTCTTAGATTTGTGCCCATTTCAGACTTCAGACTGTAAAGTAACAAATTTGTGTTACTTAACCCACTTTTAAAAAATTGTAAAAGGTTGAAAAAAGGGTAGAAACTGTCAAAGCACTGGGCTCTGGGAGAAAAGTCGTCAAATTCTCTTGCTAAGACAGGAAAGCCAGTTTATTCTCACAGAAAGGAGGGAGAGCCAAGAGTCGTGATCAAGGTTTATCGCCTCGGGAGGTAACTCTGGAGCTACAGGGACAGAATCTAGAACTGACTTTCATTGCCAAGGATGAATGATGAGCTTGAAGAAAAAAATCAGAATTCTGCAAAATGTATAGCCATCACCGAGATTTCAACAGCTTTTGAAATTTGAATTTTCTGATGACACTCAGAATGATATTAACAAATGTGATATTTTAAAAAATACATGTGATTCATTTCTCTCATTTTTTTTTCCCCCCTTTCCCCTCACTTCCTCTTATATGTAATTTTGTAGAACAATGAGGGTCTCCTTCCTTTACCATGCAATTCCCTTCTACAGTAGATGGGGTAGAGAGAGAAGATGGGAGGGGAGGGGAGGGGAGGGGGGATAGTAGAGGATAGGAAAGGTAGCAGAACACAACAGTCACTAGTATGGCAGTATGTAAAAACGTGGATGTGTAACCGATGTGAATCTGCAATCTGTATACGGGGTAAAAATGGGAGTTCATAATCCGCTTGAATCAAATGTATGAAATATGATATGTCAAGAGCTATGTAATGTTTTGAACAACTAATAATAAAAAATTTTTAAAAAAATACATGTGAAATGTGTAGATTTATAAGATCTATATAGTTAAGTAAAGCGGGAAAATGCACTGATTCAAAGTGTAAAACATCCATGGGTCTTAGAGTATAAAAAGCTCATTGATGGTTTCAGACTCCACAGGGGAACCAACTACTGGCTGTAGAGTTTTGACATAGTATCAAAAAATAGTAATCACAGTTATCTAAAAGAACTACCATGGGTTGGGGTGCAGCTCAGTAGCAGAGTGCCTCCTTAGCATGCAAGAAACCCAGGGGTCAATCCCTAGCACTAACAAAAAAGGGGAAAGAAAGCTACGAAAGCATTTACCCTTTTCTAAGAACATACCTCGGAGGCCATATTTTCTTTATATACCAAGCTAAAACAACACATCAAAACTGACTGAATGCAGAGGCAGATATAGAATCCAGATAAGGCTGGGGATGTCGTTCAGTGGTAGATCCCTTGCCTGGCATCCATGAGGAGGCTCTGGGTTCCATCCCCAGCATGGGGGGAAAAAAAGTTTCTTTAATGAAGCTAAACATTAGATCCATAAGTAATATAAAATGATGCCACTCTTTCTCACTGGATCTTTTTTTGTTTTGAAAACTGTTGATTTTTCATAAAAACAACATTTATAGTTAACATGAAATAGTTTTTCGTTGTCATTTGTGGAAGGACCAATATACGGTTGTTCTAAATCATCATTTCTGAGTGGCACAAAACTGATAGATACAACACACACAAGTAAAAGCCCCTGGGAGTCCTCGGGAATCTTCAAGAGAGAGCAGGAGGGGTGCTGAGACCACACAGTTTGAGAATCACGGCTGGAGAGTTGCCCAGCGAAGTGAACACAGCCAAGCTGAATGCAGGCTGGACACGGGGAGGCAGGAGGGCTTCTCTCCTGCCTCATTAGCCATGAATCAAGCAGGCTGCCCAAGGGATTCTCGCTGCAGGCACATTCTCCTGTCACAGTGTAAAAGCCCTTCATGCTAAACTGAAGTCCCAGGAAAGGCCCGCCATGCGCTAATCCAGGACGGACTCATCAGGATTAGCGGGACTGGAATGCACAGCCAACAATTCATAGGACTGCTTCTCTTAACCCAAGAATGTTCCAAGCGGTCCAATCTAATTTCCCAGATTCGAGAATCCCTTTGTTAAAAGCAGAATAAAGAAAATGCTTTACCTCACACCCAAAGAATCCAATTTCGTTCATTTTGTACATATAGCCAGCAGCGTTCCAACACTGCCTTTGACAGGCTTCTGGGAGCAGTGGGGACCGTGAGAGTGTGACCATGACATCAGGTGGCTGCATGGCCATATGTTAATAGTGGACACCTGGCACACACGGGCAACCCACAACACACTGCATCGACCAATTTACAAGTCAGAAGGAGTCGGATCTTTCCGTGAAGTACAATGGAAGCACCAACTAACCATGTCCTTGGATTTATTTGGTAAACATAGTGCCCAACTTCCTGGTAACTTACAGAGCCACTGTGCTCAAGAAAGAGTTTGTAGAACATTCTTCATTCCACAAGTATGAACCGAGTGCCAGGACTGGGCTCGCAGCAGGGAACAAGCAGTCCCTGTCTTTGCGGAGTTTACGTTGGATTATTGGGATTATCTCTTCAAAAAAATAAGCATGTATGAAACACTAACCGGAAGTGGCACACTCTGGATCTCCCAAAGCAACTCCAGGGAATAAGGAGAGAGTCCAGAACTGTCCTGAGGATTCTGCAGCCCCGTGGGGCGCGCTGAGAACGGGCCGCCTAGTTGCTATGCCTGCAGACACTCTGAGTTCACACTCACAGAAGGATCTGGAGAAGCACACAGAACTTGATAGTGACTTCTGTCTTTCAGCCTTCCGGTCTGGAGGGGCAGTGCTGTTGTGGGAATTTTAAAAATACGTTCGTGTGTTGAAGGCTTGGCACTATTAGGAGGGGGTAGAACCTTTAAGAGGTGGGGCCTACTGGGATGGGAGGTCTTCTGGTCATTGCGGTGTACCCTTGAAGGGGAGAGCTGAACCCCAGCGCCTTTCTCTCTTCTGCTTCCCAGATATGAAGGGAGTGATTCTGCTCTACCACGTATTTCCACCATGATGTGTTGCCTCACCACAGGCCCAAGGCAACCAGGCCGATCAGTCATGGACTGAAAATCTAAAGCTGTGAGCCAAAACAAACCATTTCTCTTTTTCAAGTTGATTATCTCATGTATTTTGTTACAGTAACAGAAAGTTAACACACTACATTTCAGATTCATCTAGACTATTATTAAGTGAAATGAAATATTCAAAAGGAACGGATTTGGACAGTTACCAGAAACATGTTCCCAGTTCCACAGTTCTGTCACAGCACCACATAGTCCCACTTACCATTTTCTCACTGATAAAATGTACTGTCTTCTACCTGGCAAGAGTGGGTTTTACAGTTGTCAATCACGGTTCCTTCTACAAATTCATAGAATAGATTTCACTGTCTGCTTGA